AAGCCTACACTGAAACGGTAATAAAAATCCAAAATCGCTTACCACTGCAAACTCTGGCCCAAGATTCAAGATGCGGTCGTAGAAACGAGAAGCTTTGACGCGGTTTTCAGCGTACACTTTTTCGAACAGACTGAGCTCTCTGCTCGGCTCAGCGATCTGATCTTCCTCAGGACTCTTTACCTCAGAAGAGGCCTCCAAATCTTTCTGTCGATAATAAATGAAAATTAGCGCGAAAGAAACCAACGAAGCTATTTGATTAATTCAATTACCCGCTTCTTCTGCAACTTATTCAGCTGAGCTTCGATGACAAGAATGTCATGGTCGACAATTTTAATTTTTTCCAATATCGTATCCCGTTCCGTCGTTTTTGGCCAGTACGGATCGTCCGGAGTTGGAGAAACATTTTCTACCCGTGGTGCGTAAGCGACATTCTCAAATATACGAATAAACCAATTCGAGTGCTTACGGGCACGCTGTGATTAATTTCCGCTTCATACACATAGCAGGAAACACCTGTCACGCAATGTCGAAAAACGCGGACACACAAATATGCGTTATTCAACATATTTATACTTTACTCTGAATACGGGACCGAGCTTTTACATTAACATAAATTACAATATATCACATAAAAGCTTAAAAACAAATGCTATGCATTTTCTGGATGTTTGCCAGGAACATAGTTCATCAGCAAGATAAACTCAACACTTCGATCTGCATGTCATCGGCTTACTTTATGATCACAACTGCTGGTGAGAACGACACACTTGGCAGTTGACTGTTGATCACAAGTCTTTTAGGATCCAGTAATACAGAGCTTGATTTCGTCGTGCCACAGCAGTGTGAGATACGCGGGTCGAAACGTTGCGTCCGTTACTTTCATTATTATACTATACGCTGTGCTTAATGATCATATCATCAATTAAATAAATCTGATGTTACATCCAAAATGCATCAGACTTTAAGAACAGCAATTTATCATAACGATTGCTTGTCTATTCAGGTAGAGGTGAAACCACTATCGACAACGTTATGCAGTAATACATCAGTGCAGTCATGATTATAATCATAATGATTACGTGAGATTCGGAGCTGACATAAAGTAATGGAGGGATATGCGCAGTATTCGGTAAAAACCAGTATAGTCTACAAACCATACCAGATTACGGTAAAATTATGAGCTGGCCTGCAGCATAACGGATAGTGAATGTTAGTGATATGTTGGAGATAGGAGGATTGACAAGGTGAAATCTAATAAATGTCAACGCCGGCCTTAAGTCCATCCGGTTGAGTCATGGAATTGCTATGGCGCAATGA